ACTATTTTCATTAAAAATGAATCACCTTGTTTCTACTGCATCAAATATTCCAGTGGCATTGCCATGTGATTAGCTTTCTGTTCTGGCAACAAGTTGTAGGAAACCTACTGGCTGCACATTTTTTGGTATTTCAGGCTATGCAAAATGGAGTGAGTAGTTCTGACACTGACATCCATGACATTTGCTATTGCTTGTACTGTACAGTTGTATGTTAGTTTCCATGAATTAGTGTCTACTCATTGAACATTCTTAGTTTATGAGTCTAGGGTCCTGAATCAATCTGTATCTGATGTGTTCTGATATCCATCAAGAAATTTCTGACACTAGTTGTTTACTGTTATCTGTGACACATGGGGTGCCATACAGAACTTTCTGTGCATAAATTTCCATTGGAGAAACCTCTTCTGCATTGAAAACTGAATGATTGCTTGTTGGTCTTGTTTGAATGCATTTTGACTAACTTCTGAATAGTTCTGACAAACAGGCTCTTCTTTACATGCTTACATAGTATTTGATTTGCTGGGTAAATTTGTTTTGAACATGCCAAAAATAATATCACATTTTAATGATTCAAATGCAATTAAGGAATTTTTATGTTAAATACAATTTTCAATGGCTTTCAGTCTAATGCTAATTGTCATTTTATCATCTGTAATGGTAGCCATGACTGTTTCATGTAGTTTGACACATCATGAAACACATTCATAAGGAAAAATTTAAATTGTAATTGTTATTTTCTATAATTTAACAGTATCAATAGCTGTCCAAAGAATTGTTCAGGTCATGGACCGTGCGTAGATGGTATTTGTACCTGTTCAGCAGGTTGGACTGGAGAAGCTTGTGACGTATCCATATGCTCTAATGGTTGTGAACATGGCTATTGCGAAAAAGAACAGCATATTTGTATATGCAATCCTGGTTATACAGGTATTTATTTTATACATTTGATAACACTCGTTTTTATTTTAAATTATAAATACTATACTCAATTAATAATTTCAAATAAATTTTCCTAATAAATTCCTGAATATAATTATTTTTGTAAAAAATTATACACCATCAAAAACTTAGTGAATATTTAAAATAAATTTAAATAAACATGTCTAACTATTAATAACATTAAATATTTTCGATTTAAAGTAAATAAATGAATAAAATAAAGACAAAAATATTTAAAATCAAATTAACTCTGACCTTTCTTAAGATATAATTAAANTTAACCATCACTATACAAACTAACTATAATAAATAGATTGAAGCCATATTAATATAAATAATAAAATAAGGCAATATAAAAAACAAAAACAAAAATAAACCTAAAAGATTAAATGCACAAAGGGATTAAATTCATAAAAATATACATCAAAAAGCATCACATTATAAAGGGCAGATAGGAACTAAGAATTTGTGTGTTTTAACTTTTCTTTTACAAAGAACTTCCATGCCGAAGCTAAACCATCAGCATCCCTTGCATTGATACAGCTGTCCCTTAATTTACTCTTATAAATTTCAATTTTTTCATGTTGCAAAGCCAACGATGGGGACCATACAGTCTTGAGAATAGATGCTTCATTCCATTTAACTACTGAAGCCTCCGCTTGTGCCATACTTGACAAAACCGTGGTACAATGTCCTTTACTAATAATGTGTTCTTTAAACCTAATAGCCAAACTCCGTCTAGTGACTCCAATATATTCCTTCATAATTCCTAGCTGTTGGTTTTCAAAGGGAATTTTATGCACACCCATTGTTTCTTCTTTCTTAAGTTTGTCCTTATCGTTTCTGAGAATACTGTATACTGTACATTAGGACCTCTTTTGTAAACAATTTTGGAGCGTTTTTTGTCTGAAACTTGCTTCATGATGTCCCTGAAGTTTTTATTATACGTGAATTTGGTAATCTTAAATTGATCTGTTCTGGTTCTTAACCTCTTACCTCTTTCATAACTTTTAATTAGCCCTTCAATTGTACTTATGCGGTAACCCAAATTTGAAGCTACTTCCTTAATTCTGTCAATCTCTTTAATCCTGTCCAATACATTAGAGCAATAAGTAAATGCTCTCCTTATGAGTGCACAGTGCTGACAATTTGTATTCATGTGGGTTATTCGAATTAGCTGGTATGTAGAGAGGACTGTGTAGGTTTTATGTAAATGCCTGTTGTTATGCAATCTCCTTTTAATTGTATGTCAATATTTAGAAAATGTATTCTTTCTTGACTCTTCTGTTCTAGTTTCAGTTTCAAACCATTATTGTTGGTGTTGTTAATGGTCTGTATGAACTCGTGTATTCTTTCGCCATTTCTCCAGATAACGTACACATCATCCACATATCTTTTGTAAAATACAATATCTTTTTGCAGCTATTAACAACTTGCTTTTCTAAGTTGCGTAAAACCAGCTCACATAACAACCCTGACATTGGGCTTCCCATAGGTATGCCTTTCTTCTGTCTGTATACCTGCTTATCATAGCTGAAGAAGGACTCATAACATACCAACTTGGCTAATTCCTTCAAATCATTCTCAAATGCACCAACTTCCGGTTTTATGCGGAGCATAAATTCAATTAAAGCTTCATAACAGGATTCTATCTTTACCAATGGATACAGGCTTTCAAAATCCATAACATACCCAACCTCTTCATCCATTAAATTTAACTCTTGTAAGTCCTTAACTCAGCACTTCGTCAGCACTTCATGCACTCATAATACAAAATGTCAGCACTTCGTGCACTCGTAAGGAGAGCATTTACTTATTGCTCTAATGTATTGGACAGGATTAAAGAGATTGACAGAATTAAGGAAGTAGCTTCAAATTTGGGTTACCGCATAAGTACAATTGAAGGGCTAATTAAAAGTTATGAAAGAGGTAAGAGGTTAAGAACCAGAACAGATCAATTTAAGATTACCAAATTCACGTATAATAAAAACTTCAGGGACATCATGAAGCAAGTTTCAGACAAAAAACGCTCCAAAATTGTTTACAAAAGAGGTCCTAATGTACAGTATACAGTATTCTCAGAAACGATAAGGACAAACTTAAGAAAGAAGAAACAATGGGTGTGCATAAAATTCCCTTTGAAAACCAACAGCTAGGAATTATGAAGGAATATATTGGAGTCACTAGACGGAGTTTGGCTATTAGGTTTAAAGAACACATTATTAGTAAAGGACATTGTACCACGGTTTTGTCAAGTATGGCACAAGCGGAGGCTTCAGTAGTTAAATGGAATGAAGCATCTATTCTCAAGACTGTATGGTCCCCATCGTTGGCTTTGCAACATGAAAAAATTGAAATTTATAAGAGTAAATTAAGGGACAGCTGTATCAATGCAAGGGATGCTGATGGTTTAGCTTCGGCATGGAAGTTCTTTGTAAAAGAAAAGTTAAAACACACAAATTCTTAGTTCCTATCTGCCCTTTATAATGTGATGCTTTTTGATGTATATTTTTATGAATTTAATCCCTTTGTGCATTTAATCTTTTAGGTTTATTTTTGTTTTTGTTTTTTATATTGCCTTATTTTATTATTTATATTAATATGGCTTCAATCTATTTATTATAGTTAGTTTGTATATTGATTGGCTAATTTAGTTTACGTTTTAATTTGAATTTGTAATGTTCGAAAGTTCCATTTTAACACAATTTTCAAATTTGTTCGATAGCCTTCATCTGATGATGGCCTATTCCATTAGGCTGAAAGCGTTTGTGATTTAATAAATATTCTCAGCATTATAAGGTGTTAAATGTTTTAAAAGGAAGCTGAGTTGGATATTCAAGTTACAGTAGAGCGTCGTTTATCCGAATCAATTGGGGACTGGGGTTGTTCGGATTATTTATTTTTCGGATAACCAGTTATGTACGAAAAAATATATTAATTTATCCCGTGTTGACATTTTTCTCCATTGTGTGTCGCTTCACGTTGAATCTTCATCAATGTTAAGCCTAATGAAGACTATTGTATCGTTAAAAATTATTTTTTTATTTTGTACAAACAAAATAAATATAATGAAAAATATAAAAACATTACAATACAATAAACAATATACAATAAAAAATTATACTTCAGAAGTTAATTTAGTATCAAAAACGTAAAATATTTGAGTAGCCGAAGACATAGCCAGATTACAGCGCCACAGCACTGGCAAAAATTTAAATTTGTCGACTGGAATTCCTTCGGATAACTGACGTTTCGGATAACTGACCTTCAGATAAACGACGCTCTACTGTATTATTATGATTATTCTGATAGTCTTTTAAAATTCTTATTTTCACAAAGAGAATATTTTTACTATTTACATAATACAGGGTCTGATTGCAGTTTTAAGATAGAAAATGGATGGTGGGAAGAAATAATTACAAATACTGTAATGCAAGGAAGAGCATTACATCAGTCTGTTGTTGTGGAAGACAGCATGTGGATTATTGGAGGAGAGAATTTTAATCATGATGTCTTCCAGGATATTATAATGTAAAATACTTTTGTTTTAAAAAAGTAACTTCTATAAGAGACTTAATATTATAATAATTATTATAATTTTTGATAGGTTTAATTTTACAACTAATACTTGGAAAATTGTAGAAGTTACATCTAATAAGCCTGCTAACAGATACGGTCATTCGGTAATAGCATTTGAAGTAAGTAATTTATAGCATCAGGACTGTTTTTATATAGTTTCTTATATATAGAACTATATTTTGAATTATTGTATCTGTTTTACTTAAATACTTGATTATGCATATGATTATTCAATTTCTAACTGGAATTTTGATTATATCTAAAAACATAAATATTCTATTTACTTTTAGTTTGTTTCTTTTTTGAGATGTTTTTTTTTTCCTACAAATTATTACAGTGGTACTTCATACTTCAAACAACTCTAACTTCAAATGCTTCAGAGTTCAAAAGCCAAATTTAACAAAAATTTGCTTCAAAGTTTGAACTGTGCATGGAATGAAAATGCACTCAAAGCATAAAATACGCTTCTGAACAAAGATTATAATCTCAAATTAGCAATAATATCTTAAAATTTATAACTATAGGTATTTAATTAAATTACTCATCTATGTTAAGTAACAATGACTGTTCTGTAAAAAGTTTCTGTTCAATCTAATATAACCATTACATATTAATCATGGCAATCAAGAAGTGTATGGAAACAATGAAGTCAAACTAGTAAGAGAAAGAATTGGAAAAAGATAAGATGAAAAAGGAACTTTAAAAAAGTGGTACACATGGCAGATCTGGTGAGCATGTTTATTGATGATGTCAGATGCCAAAATTGACAGTGTGAAACCAGTAAATGTAATTTTCATTTTATTATACATTATTTACACATTATTTTTATTGTTTTTGAGTTTTAATTTATTATCCACTCAGCAGTGAGGGACGTATATATACGTCCAGGGTGATCGTGTGGCAGTGGTGAGGGACATATACAGTATATACATCAAATTCTTTTGGGGGTATTAGCAAAATCTAGCCAAAAACTACCGCAAAAAAAAATTCAGATAAAAAATGAATTATGTAACAATAAACAAAGACTTTTCTTTACTAGACATAACTGTTTACAAAATCTTTTTCTGAAACAGTACTGAAAAAAAAACACATGGAAAAATACTCTAAAAATTTCGCATGTTTATTCTCCAGGGGTAGCACCATACCTGACTATTCCACTATTGAAAGGTTAGTAGGGCACTTGATTCTGTTATTTTTACATTAAATTATGTGTATTTACTGTTTTAAGTTTATTGGAAAGGGTATTGTTTAGGATCTGGAAATGAATTAATTCACTTTCCGATATTTCTAATGTAAAAAACTGCTTCAGACTTTGAATGATTCTGAGTCAAATTAATGTGCTTTCTCACCACACCGGGTTGTATATATTCCAACTATCTACAATTAACCAGTAACCGGTGCGAAAATTCTTTAAAATCGGCGAACGTTTTCGATTCCCCTCCTGGGATCTTCTTCAGGCTTACTTTATTTTAGCTTTCGTTATAACCGGATTCTNAATTGAGCAGAATGACAATTACGATTGTTCTTTATTATTCTGTTTAATATTGGTTTAATTTGTTTAAATATGATAACAAAATAAATAATAATGTTTTTCTAAACATTAATAGTCATTAAAATTTGATGAATACAAATGTAAATGTGAGCCTCCGGGGAGGTTGGGAAGTCCTCTCCTTCCAGCCACAGGTCGGTGACCTACTTTCTTGTCAAGGATGGCGTTTCGTTCAGTTACGCGTTACGCAAGTTAGTCGACGATAAGACGTTGGCTAAGTCGAGTAATGACACCATTTAAAAAACAAAACAAGAGTTTATTAAACTAACTAACTAAATAAAATCTTACAAAACTCCTTAGACTTCACGGATGAGAGAGAGAGTTTACAATAATATTTCATACCTCTGGGATAATATCGGATGGATATTTCTGACTTAAAGGTTTCGAAAAGCAGTGCTCGGTGTGGCACAAGGTCTTCCAACTAAGGGCTTACAGTAGGTATGAGGGGAAGATATGGCCCGTCTTCGTCGTTGTCCGTTTGATTGGCGACTCCCCTGAGAGACGAAGGAGGTTGGCTTTTATACATTTTGTGGTGGGAAACTTTGTCAGGTGACCAATTGTTTTAGCAGGTGTGCGGTTAAAGTTGGTGTTAGAATGACAACAATATGACAAATTTCGCTGATAATTGTAAACTATACACAGTTTGATCATGAGAATGTTTATAGTTAAATAGAAAGAGTTATAAATTTCACATACACTTTATATTACAGTTCTGTAGGGTCAAATTCTTTTGGTTAAAGGAATTTTTTTATTTAAATTTATTAAAAATTTAAAGGATTACTTTCTTTTATGAAATTATATGAACTTCGAATTTCACATAAAATATATGAAATGGTGTTCAAGCTGGTATACTGGGAACAGTACAAAAACATCTGTCATCAATCAATACGTAGTGTTTAGAATTGTCCTAATAGTCCTAATTGTCCTAAAATTGTCCTAATAGTCCTAATTGTCCTAATTGTCCCAAAATTAAATAATCAAGTCATTAACAAATAAGCCCCTTAAAAAATAATGACAATAGAAAAGGGGAAAAACAAATAAAAGTGCCAAATAAAAAAATCTTGTGGGCAAAACAACCACAGAAGAGATGATTGTTCTGTATCTATTATTTGTTAATTTCAAATTTTGAGAATAGGAACAATATTTCTTTTTATTTTTTAATTTTTGTTTTTTATATATTATTTTATATATTATATGAATTTAATAAATTTAAAAACAATATTGTTCAAAAATGAGAAAAACAGGTTAAAGTGAACTCCAATAAAGCAGATTTTTGTTACATTATGACAGACAGATAACAGAGCCATTCTATGCAGGGTCCTATAGGTTTAGTGCTCAATGCACAGTTTTAATAGTCATATGCTCAATGATTGTTATCACATTTATATAATAGTATGCATTTTATAAGAAAGAACTGTTGTTAATTGTTCATTTTATTTTTATTATTATTATTTTATTATAATAGCCTTTTAAAATTCTTATTTTGATGAAGAGAATTTTTTTTACTGTTTATATACAGGGTCTGATTGCAGTTTTAAAATAGAAAATGGATGGTGGGAAGAAGTAATTACAAATACTGTAATGCAAGGAAGAGCATTACATCAGTCTGTTATTGTGGAGGACAGCATGTGGATTATTGGAGGAGAGAATTTTAATCATGACGTCTTCCAGGATATTATAATGTAAAATACTTTTGTTTTAAAAAGTAATTTCTGTAAGAGACTAAATATTTTAATAATTATTATAATTTTTGATAGGTTTAATTTTACAACTAATACTTGGAAAATTGTAGAAGTTACATCTAATAAGCCTGCTAACAGATATGGTCATTCAGTAATAGCATTTGAAGTAAGTAATTTACAGCATCAGAACTGTTTTTTAATATAGTTTCTTATATATAGAACTATATTTTGAATTACTGTATCTGTTTTACTTAAATACTTGATTATGCATATGATTATTCAATTTCTAACTGGAATTTTGATTATATTTAAAAACATAAATATTCTATCTACTTTCAGTTTGTTTTTTTTTTCTAGATGTTTTTTCCTACAAATTATTACAGTGGTACCTCATACTTCAAACAACTTCAAATGCTTCAGATTTAAATGCCAAATTTAACAAAAAATTGCTTTGGAATTTGAATGATGTTTCAAAGTTCAAACTGGGCGTGGAATGAAAAAATAACTCAAAGTGTAAAATACGTTTCTGAACAAAGAATATAATCTCAAATTAGCAATAATATGTTAAAATTTACAACTACAAGTATTATAATTAAATTACTCATCTCTGTTAAGTAGCAACAACTGTTCTGTAAAAACTTTGTTCAATCCAATATAAAATAGCAACAAATTGAACCTTAAAAGAAATTCAGGCTAATTAACTGCANAGTTGGTGTTAGAATGACAACAATATGACAAATTTCGCTGATAATTGTAAACTATACACAGTTTGATCATGAGAATGTTTATAGTTAAATAGAAAGAGTTATAAATTTCACATACACTTTATATTACAGTTCTGTAGGGTCAAATTCTTTTGGTTAAAGGAATTTTTTTATTTAAATTTATTAAAAATTTAAAGGATTACTTTCTTTTATGAAATTATATGAACTTCGAATTTCACATAAAATATATGAAATGGTGTTCAAGCTGGTATACTGGGAACAGTACAAAAACATCTGTCATCAATCAATACGTAGTGTTTAGAATTGTCCTAATAGTCCTAATTGTCCTAAAATTGTCCTAATAGTCCTAATTGTCCTAATTGTCCCAAAATTAAATAATCAAGTCATTAACAAATAAGCCCCTTAAAAAATAATGACAATAGAAAAGGGGAAAAACAAATAAAAGTGCCAAATAAAAAAATCTTGTGGGCAAAACAACCACAGAAGAGATGATTGTTCTGTATCTATTATTTGTTAATTTCAAATTTTGAGAATAGGAACAATATTTCTTTTTATTTTTTAATTTTTGTTTTTTATATATTATTTTATATATTATATGAATTTAATAAATTTAAAAACAATATTGTTCAAAAATGAGAAAAACAGGTTAAAGTGAACTCCAATAAAGCAGATTTTTGTTACATTATGACAGACAGATAACAGAGCCATTCTATGCAGGGTCCTATAGGTTTAGTGCTCAATGCACAGTTTTAATAGTCATATGCTCAATGATTGTTATCACATTTATATAATAGTATGCATTTTATAAGAAAGAACTGTTGTTAATTGTTCATTTTATTTTTATTATTATTATTTTATTATAATAGCCTTTTAAAATTCTTATTTTGATGAAGAGAATTTTTTTTACTGTTTATATACAGGGTCTGATTGCAGTTTTAAAATAGAAAATGGATGGTGGGAAGAAGTAATTACAAATACTGTAATGCAAGGAAGAGCATTACATCAGTCTGTTATTGTGGAGGACAGCATGTGGATTATTGGAGGAGAGAATTTTAATCATGACGTCTTCCAGGATATTATAATGTAAAATACTTTTGTTTTAAAAAGTAATTTCTGTAAGAGACTAAATATTTTAATAATTATTATAATTTTTGATAGGTTTAATTTTACAACTAATACTTGGAAAATTGTAGAAGTTACATCTAATAAGCCTGCTAACAGATATGGTCATTCAGTAATAGCATTTGAAGTAAGTAATTTACAGCATCAGAACTGTTTTTTAATATAGTTTCTTATATATAGAACTATATTTTGAATTACTGTATCTGTTTTACTTAAATACTTGATTATGCATATGATTATTCAATTTCTAACTGGAATTTTGATTATATCTAAAAACATAAATATTCTATTTACTTTTAGTTTGTTTCTTTTTTGAGATGTTTTTTTTTTCCTACAAATTATTACAGTGGTACCTCATACTTCAAACAACTTCAAATGCTTCAGATTTAAATGCCAAATTTAACAAAAAATTGCTTTGGAATTTGAATGATGTTTCAAAGTTCAAACTGGGCGTGGAATGAAAAAATAACTCAAAGTGTAAAATACGTTTCTGAACAAAGAATATAATCTCAAATTAGCAATAATATGTTAAAATTTACAACTACAAGTATTATAATTAAATTACTCATCTCTGTTAAGTAGCAACAACTGTTCTGTAAAAACTTTGTTCAATCCAATATAAAATAGCAACAAATTGAACCTTAAAAGAAATTCAGGCTAATTAACTGCAAATTTGTTAATCAATTGCAATCTCTAATGTTTTCGATCTACTTAAAAAAACTTTAGAGATTGCAATTGATAAACAAATTTGCAGTTAATTATCCTGGAATTTCTTTTAAGGTTCAATTTGTTGCCATTTTGTATAATATATTCCAGGCTTGCAGAATTTGAGTCAATCCAATATAATCATTACATATTAATTATGCCATCCAAGAAATGTGTGGAAACAATGAAGTCAAACTAGTCACGGGAAAGATTGGAAAAGGATATACACATGGCAGATCTGGAGACCATGTTTAAGATGCCAAAATTGATAGTGTGCAACCAGTAAATGCAATTTTCATTTATATTATACATTATTTACACATTCTTTTTATTGTTTTTGAGTTTTAATTTATTATTAGGGCACTTGATTCTGTTATTTTTACATTAAATTATGTATATTTGCTGTTTTAAGTTTATTGGAATGGTATTGTTTAGGGTCTGTGAATGGATTAATTTGCTTTTCGATATTTCTATTGGGACAAACTGCTTCAGATTTTGAATGATTTGGAGTTCAAATGTCTTCATGGAATGAATTAAATTTGAAGTATGAGTACCACTGTATTTATTCCATCAATATGGTAGTGTTTATATTCTAATAACACAAAATTGATTTTGCTGATTTTGGAATTATTGGACAACACACTGCTTCATCTAATTTTTTTTTGTTAGACTTGAACTGTTTGCTACTCAAAATTAATTAACTGGACACTCACTCAGAGAAGAGAATCACTTGGTAAGCAGTTTGGACTATACGAAGTGAGTTTTCTAGCATTTCTCAAGACAGAGAATTGATTTTTAAAGACAATTTCACATAAGTGTTTGACTGTGTTTTATTGTGAAGGAAAAGTTAAAAATGGTGCATTTTTAACTTTGTTAGACTGTTTAGCCATGTTAGCCATTGCTAGTCTTGTTTAACTCTGCAGATGTTTCCAGAACAATTTTCTCATAGTTTTAGTATTCAGCATTAGTAGAGATTGCATGATTGAAGAAGTTAATGCTTATCATATCTTTATTATCTTAGAACATCAGCATCATCATTTTTTTTTCNAAAACGTTCGCCGATTTTAAAGAATTTTCGCACCGGTTACTGGTTAATTGTAGATAGTCTGAGTCAAATGTTCTCATGGAATGAATTAAATTTGAAGTATGAGTACCACTGTATTTATTCCATCAATATGGTCGTGTTTATATTCTAATAACACAAAAATGATTTTGCTGATTTTAGAATTATTGGACAACACACTGCTTCATTTCATTATCTTTTGTTGGACTTGAACTGTTTGCTACTCAAAATTCATTAACTGGACACTCACTCAGAGAAGAGAATCACTTGGTAAGCAGTTTGGACTGTACGAAGTGAGTTCTCTAGAATTTCTCAAGACAGGGAATTGATTGTTAAGGACAATTTCACATCAGTGTTTGACTGTATTTTATTGTGAAGGAAAAGTTAAAAATGGTGCATTTTTAACTTTGTTAGACTGTTTAGCTATGTTAGCCATTGCTAGTCTTGTTTAATTCTGCAGATGTTTCCAGAACAATTTTCTCACAGTTTTAGTATTCAGCATTAGTAGAGATTGCATGAACGAAGAAGTTAATGCTTATCATATCTTTATTATCTTAGAACATCAGCATCATCATTTTTTTTTCTGACTTCTATTTATTGACAAATGCAGTTCTTGCTATTTCACTTGTATGTTTGTGATATAGTATTATTTCCAAACTGTGTTGTTAATCTTTTGAATATTTTAACCAGTTTGATACTTTCATTTGCAAAGAATTCAATAATACATCATGGCTCATTCCTATTTGAAACATTCATGATTTATATAACAGTACTAGTTACTCATAGTGATGACTAGGGATGACTCAGCATACAAGACTTATAATGGGACTAGCAGGGTTATATTAATTAAATATATGTGGAAGCGAGGCACTGGATGGAGATAGTATAACATTCATCATTGTTGTACTCTATACTTACTGTATTGTGTATAGCAATCCAATTGGATCCACAAATTCTTAGAGGAATTACATCGATTTTCTGCAGAAAATTTAAATTTTTTATAATTTCTCAGCATCAGGCAAAATACCAGTTAGTAGTTGAATCACTCTTATATATATATAGGGTGTTTGATAAGTCTGGAATGAATATAATTTATATTGCATAAATTTTATTGCTTATTATACATGTACTCTTATTTACATTGTTGCTTGATATATCTATTGTGAAGTTCCATGCACTTTGAATCACTATATTATGTACAGGTGTACCTCAAATTATGTCATTCTCGATTATATGTCATTTGTCAAAAAATATATGGAAAAATAAAAATCAAGTTTAAGTCACCTTTACATCCATCCGCCACAAATATTGAAGTTGTAATATCACTAGAAAAGCATTAAAGCACATAAAATCATATTAAAATATGTACATTTACAGTAAATGTTAATATAATCATCATAAATCCTAGAGAACGAAACATGAAAACATCTGTGTTTCTGTGTTGTCGTCTTATTTAGCAGTTTTTAAGTGCTCAATATTGGTGTTTTCCACATTAGCTCCAATATCTACCATTTGGCTTCGTTGTCAGTGCCATTCGATATTGGTAAATTTAATATAAATTAGTTTATTTTCTACTGTCAAATACAGTCACAAGATAATTTATCTTGTGACTGTATTTGTTATTTAACCTTACAAAATCATCTTATTTTATAATGTCTTAGAGCAATTCACATCCAGAAATAAAGAGTTTGCAATGTACTGTAAACATTGCCAAATTGTAAACATGTACATTTACAAGTATGTACTGTACATACATGAATTCGTAAATTTAGATTACTTTTTCTGTACTGCATTAAAAACTAAAATTTATTTGTTTGAAAGCTTAAAATAGATTTTTATTAACCATATATTATAAAAAATGCATTTATAAACAAAATACAGAACTGGGAATGGTATTTGTGGTTTAGCCTAGTGACAAGTAAATTTGATTATATTGTTTTTTGACTTAAGTCGCCTCTCCTGGAATCAATTACTGACGTAAGGCGAGGTGTACCTGTACTTTTGTGTTCTTTTCATGATGTTGGGATTGGCTGCAGCACAGATATTTTTATCATTTGTTCAGACTTTTGAACACACTGTATATTGATATATATATGAATGTAATTGCTAATTTTAATGCATCTTAACATTTTGAAAATATTTTTCTAGGACTATTTATATATGTATGGAGGAATATTGTATAATGGAACAGTTAAAAATGAATTATGGAAGTTTGATNGAAGAAGTTAATGCTTATCATATCTTTATTATCTTAGAACATCAGCATCATCATTTTTTTTTCTGACTTCTATTTATTGACAAATGCAGTTCTTGCTATTTCACTTGTATGTTTGTGATATAGTATTATTTCCAAACTGTGTTGTTAATCTTTTGAATATTTTAACCAGTTTGATACTTTCATTTGCAAAGAATTCAATAATACATCATGGCTCATTCCTATTTGAAACATTCATGATTTATATAACAGTACTAGTTACTCATAGTGATGACTAGGGATGACTCAGCATACAAGACTTATAATGGGACTAGCAGGGTTATATTAATTAAATATATGTGGAAGCGAGGCACTGGATGGAGATAGTATAACATTCATCATTGTTGTACTCTATACTTACTGTATTGTGTATAGTAATCCAATTGGATCCACAAATTCTTAGAGGAATTACATCGATTTTCTTCAGAAAATTTAAATTTTTTATAATTTCTCAGCATCAGGCAAAATACCAGTTAGTAGTTGAATCACTCTTATATATATATAGGGTGTTTGATAAGTCTGGAATGAATATAATTTATATTGCATAAATTTTATTGCTTATTATACATGTACTCTTATTTACATTGTTGCTTGATATATCTATTGTGAAGTTCCATGCACTTTGAATCGCTATATTATGTACTTTTGTGTTCTTTTCATCATATTGGGATTGGCTGATATTTTTATAACAGACATTTATAAACAGATATAGCACAGATANAATTTTAATGCATCTTAACATTTTGAAAATATTTTTCTAGGACTATTTATATATGTATGGAGGAATATTGTATAATGGAACAGTTAAAAATGAATTATGGAAGTTTGATATTCAGAACAAATCTTGGAGTTTAGAGAAAAGCAAAACAAATCAGCAGTGTTTAACTGAACTATGTAGCCCTGTAGCTGCTGTTGGTCACACTGCTACTCTTGTTCCTGCTGTGCATGGTGATAAAATGATAGTAATATTTGGTCACAATCCAATATATGGTTACTTAAATACAGTACAAGAATATGATTTAAGTAAGTAATATTTATATATTTCAATTTATAAATTCAAACTTAAGTTTATAACACTGAGTTTAAAGGAATTGATATATAAGAATTTGTTGGTGTTTTTCACAAAGAAATTAAAAATATAAAAGTGGATTTCAATTGTGTGCATAACAGAAATGGAATGTTTTATTTTTAATACAGATAATACACTTTACTATTTACTCAAACTAATTGCGTTAGGTTTATTTTTAATTCTTACATTTCAAAATACTGGCTGTAAGAAATATTAATTATTTTCTGATAAAATATATATTTTGTATAACAATGTTAAAATATATACAGTTCAGCAATACCAAATTAATTACAATCAGAAAAACTCAAAAACATATACACATTTAGAGTAATTTACTTTTTAATATCTGACACATGATAAGAAATATAGAATTTGAAATACACACAAGTTTAAAAATATTAACATAATGCATTTCACATAATCCGCAATACAATATTTAATATTTTGTTCAAGAAATATAAATAAAAGTACTTTTGCTTAGTTACTCAATTCAAGCATCTTTAATTAATATTGTTAAAAAAAACAAATCAATTAAGTGTTTGGAAGATTTAACATATTTATAATATAATACAGGTTCCTTGTATAACACTGTAGTTACGTTCCAAAAATGTGCCAAGTTACGCGAATCCATGTTATATGAAACAAAGGGCTAACATAAAACATGGGGTTAGGTTTCAAAAATTAGCAAAAGTATACTATTTTTTTTTTCTGTCACTAAGAGAAACATGTTTATTAAATTGCAATCAACAATTTATTTCCCATCAATAATTAACTAAAAATCACAATTAAAAGTAATATATTAGCCTATGCATTAATATGAATTTTAATTAAATGAAGGTGTTTTCTTTTTACAAATTATCATCATTATCTGAGCGTTTTTGTTGATCTTGATCAGAATTGTTAGTGACATCTTCATGTTTTGTATTTTCATAAAATTTTTTGTGTATAACAAAACAAAAATAAAAACATGTTAAGTGAAAATTTGTTCAAGTGAGGACTGAATGATTTTTTTCCAGAATTTGTGTTCAAATACTGAATTGTTTGAGTTAGGAACAGTTTGACTATCAAGGTACTGTTGTATTTAGTGTCATTTTTACAAAGGATTACTTACCTATGGTTAAAAATGTGTAATAACACTTACCTAAGCAGGTTTAATATAATAAACTCTACTAAATACAAAGTTTAATCTACAAAAACAAGACAGAGGACAGCCTTAAAGTCTAAAAGCAATGGCAATGGCACCTGGTTGATAGGAAAGCTAGAACAAGGAAGAAAAAAATTGCATTGTTATTTTTCATTAAAGTACACCTGACAAAAAGCACAAAATAAATTAAACATTTTAATATTCTAAAATCCACGAGCAAATTTGAGACAACATGCATGCATACTTCAATTAAAAAATATTGAATAATGAAGTTTGTACTTAAAAATTGTGAAATTTTGTATGGAGAAGTTTCCAAATTCTCAAACTGTGTTAGAGCAAAACTGGAAACCATGTTGTATGGAGGATATCCCCAATTTTCCAACTGTGTTAGAGCAAAACTGTGTTGTAGCCGTGTCATGTTGTATGAGGAATACCTGTGTTTGTAACATTATCATTTCTACAATTTTTGGAAATATTGCATTTTTTGTACAGAAAAATATAATATAATCTCATGCATTTAAATTTGTTAGTGCATAAATCTGATATATTATTTGTCTTAATATGTCTTCTGCCCAAAATAAAGTTTCTTGATTTCTAGGTGTTAACAATTTCATATCATACAACTTGGTTTGTAATTTTGCACTGAGGCTGAAATGGCCAAGTTGTAGTTGTATTTTTGATACTTTGTACTTCTTTCATGATTTGTAATAAATTTGTTTTAGTTTCTTATTATTGAACTAATATGCACTAAAGTTTTGATTCCTTATTTAAGTTTTCTGTACTTTTTCACCAGCCCTTATTTAACTGAAAAGGAAGATCTTAAACAACTTCAATAATCTGTATCTTATGCTGTGCTACAAGCAAAGATTGTGGGAATGAGAGAGATGAACAGGTTTTTATCTGGTGTTAATATATTTGGGGAAACAATTTGTACTTAATTTTGTCGTATAAATAATTAAATTTTGAAACTGAATAACTGTTGCTGTTGCTTTTGGAGTTCTTAGTGATTATGGATACTGACAGGGGAATGGATTACTTGTCTCCTAGTCAGAGTGGATGAGCAGTTGGGTGAGTATGTAGGAGTGTGGGCACTGAAACAAGTCTCCTTCGAAAGATTAACCCATTTATTATAAACATTCAAAAGGAGCTTACAATAATTTTTTAAAATCACTTCTAAATATCTCTTAAGTTTGAATATGTGTGATTTCCCTTGATGTGTTCGTTGGCAAGGTGGATGCCCTGGGGTGTGTTGATCTCAAACGTAGAGTTTATATGGAGTTAATTAGATGACCTGGAGAAAGTCTTAAGTGGTCTCAGTTGAGAAGACAAAGCAGAAATACAGGCACAAAATGAAAAATTAGAACTTGCACTGACTTTAAGCAGTTATGGAAGAAGGGCAGATGAGAGAGAATGCAGGTGAACAGTGCCCAGTGTTCTTGATTCTGCAGTTTATATAGGATTTTAGCAGATTAATGGGGTTCTGATTGGTTTAGCTCTTCCTTCTTTGCTTCCCAATTGGTCACCCATCACTCTGTTTCCAGGTATAACAAGACTCAGATTAGAATGCAAGAAAGGTCAATTGTCCGAGTACAATTTGATATATCATTTTGAATCCATCCAAGAATTGTTTATTGAACCTTAGCTCTTTTCCTAATGTTTTAAACTATTGTGTTTTGATATTATGACAATTCTAACGATTCTGTTATGACATTCTTCCTTCTATTAATTTAAAGTTATTTATCAAAAGTTTATTCTATTTTCCTGTTTTATCATATTTACAATTACCTGTGTTGGGGTTTGCTTTCCTGACTGAACACCTATAAACTCTCATTGTTGGCATTTATGTCACTTTATTTTAACTCTTTTTGACATGTTTACAATATATATGTATTTTCTTTTATATTGGCAATATTTTCTTGTTACAACACTGTTTACTCTTTATGTTCTGTTGGTTTTAATTTTTATATACATTATCTAGGTTTTGGATTTAATCGGGAACCCCACTATTTCTAGTTCTGACTTTAATGCAGTCTGGACAAATATTTGTGTGTCCTTATCTGAGATGCAAAAGCAACATTAACAGATAGGTTTACTACTGTTATAAAAATGTCTACAAGAACCCTACTTTATTTAAGACTTGTTGCATCAAGGAGGAGTCCACAAAAATTAGAGGACAACAGTTATTATATGATTAATGATTATTATCCTTTAATTCTTGTGCGCTCCTTCTCCTTGATGTGTGTCCTTAAATAAAGTATGTATCTTGTGAACTATTTTATAATACTTATACAACAAGGACAAGAAACAGTTAATATAAAGGTTTTCTACTAGTTTTGACAGTTTCTGTCTTATGAGTATTAAGGTGGTCTTTTTCAAGCTTAATGTGGTTTCAACAAGATCCACAATGGGACATCTGGGTGGTGAAGGACAAGGTTGACCTATCTGGTACCAATCACTCCCTTAAAAATTCTGGGGTTTTCAACCTGCCCAGAGTTTATCTTGAGTCTTAGGACTATGATCTTAATAACATACACAATCTAGTGGCAAACTTACTAAATTGATAAGATCCTTTAATTGGGAAAAGTGGAGACAAGTTATTTTTTCTGATAGATGCTAAACTCAAAATTATTGTTTGAAAAGATGTTGACAAATCAAGGGATGTGAAATTGTGTTCTTTCAGTATGGATTTAATGTATGGAAATACAATGTTGATGTAATTGAAGAATATTTTGAAATTGTTCATTGTGCTGCCATCTTATTACATTATTAAATGAATCTATACCAGAGGCTACATATATAGTAGATTATAGATATATGTATCCTCTGGTGTAGACAGTAATACTACTGTATAGATATGATATATCTATATATCATATCTATCTGTACAGATATGATATATCTATATATCATATCTGTACAGGTTTTTCTAAAATAATTTAGATTTATGGCTGAAGTGTAATGTTTATATTTCTTACATTTTAAAATTTCCATTTTGACCTTTACCATTATATTTTTTGAATTAACTTGTGTAGAATAATCAAGCAAAGATTTGTCCATGAAACTTGTTTCTGTACTAGGTAGTGCTCAAATGTAATGAAATAGGTTTGTGAATTTCTTTTGCACCTCATTTCTGCCTATGTACTGTACATCCCACTCCTTTTACTGATTGTCTATAAAATGCCTGTAAATTTTTTAAAAGATTGTGAAAACTGCATTGATTTAGGATGAAAATTCACTGAGATATGAATTTTTAAAGTTGTGCTTGACTTTGGATTAATCTGTGTAGTTACTAAAATTACATTTTTGAGATTTAATTCATTTTTTCATTTGATGTGAAATTTGTCCTTTGTGTGAATTGTACTTAATGATATTAGGAGAGCAAATTCAATTTTTCAGTGTTGACAATTAAGAAATTTACATTGCAAATACATTTTTGACAGTGAAAGTGTGGGCTTTTGCTAGACATATATAATATGAGATGTTCTCTGTTTATTATCTGTTATCTTCTATGTTTGGAAAAGCTTTTATGTATCATATAATAATTTGTATATGTCAATACCTTGCTAGTATTCTGTATTGTTAATTTTACCAACTATCCACTGTTCAAAAGTATTGCTTCTAACTTCATATAATTTAGAGTAATTTGATGCTGATTTTTTTCTGATTTATTTTCATTTCTTGTTACACTGTTACAATACAAAATGGAATTTGTAATAATCTGCTTTTATGCCATCATACAATTAGCCTCTGTGTCCATTAATAAAATTGTTAATATAAATTTGTTTTCTTTATTATTTAATTTTCATAATTGCTATGTAAAATAACCTTCTGCAACAAAGCATACAATGATCATAAAATCTGTTCTGAAATTTAATTATAAAATTAACATATATCCAGAAATCATTAATGTATTTAATATTCTGAAAACTGAATCTTATACATTAAATTAATGAAGCTAATAAAAACAATATAAATTTTATAATGCACAAATGACAATATTAAATTANTATATGATTTGAATAAGTTAAAAGCTTTAGCTTACAAAAATATTTTTATTAATGTTCAATTAGCAACTTATGTTTGAGCTTATGTACAACTTAATATCTTTTGTAATACAAATTATATTTTCTGTAGTGTAATCATTATTTTTATCTTCTTTGTAATGTAAAATTTGAATTATTTCTTCCTTTTATTTTAGCTACTGGAAATTGGGAACTTACTTCAACAAAAGGAGCTATTGTTAAAGGAGGATTTGGACACACAAGTGTTTATGACAAGAGAACACAGAGAATATATGTGTATGGTGGTTATCACTCTTTTGGTCCCAAAAGTGCTTTAGTAGATTTTTTGTATGCTTATAATGTTTGGCAGCATGAGTGGTAAGATATTTTTTTGTACCTAATGATAAGGCTTTTTTTCTTATTAGTTATAGATACAGTCATTTTACCTTGCATTTAAATATTTCTTGTAGATATGGTAAATTAAACATGTTTTTGACCACTTAAATATTTGTTTTTATCAATCAGAGGTAAGTTAGATATATACTAGTAAGATTTCTAAAAATGATCCTAACTCAGTTTTGTAAAGTTTTAGTTATGGTCCTTTTTTTAGCATGGGAAGTACTGTAAATATAAATTATACAAAAGATAAAGGACCCTCCACAATACTTAAAGGTTTTGGCCTTTGGTGAAATTGGCTGAAAATTTAGTATGTTATAATTCTTTACTAACTGATGAAAAGTCTCAATTGCCAGAAAGGTTGAAAATGGCTGGGGTTTTTGCTAAAGCTATTTGAATATATGGGAAGTGTATATAGGGAGTGATAACAAAAGTCTGTTTCTGGCCAATTATTTTTGAAAAGTAATATGGCATAACTGTAAATGAAAAATATACATTATGATATATCAAGTGCCATTCCAGATCACTGTCAAATATGACAGGGAAATGCTTTGCTGCACAACACACAAGGAGTAGCATGCATTACTGCTTAACATAGGGTAATGAAGAAGTGATTGAATGTGTGATTAGGTTTAGGTAGGCAATGATATAGTTCTGTTTTATTTAATATCATTTTAATATTTTCTATTAAATTGGGTTATTTTCATATCCATGTTTTGTTAACTTAACTTGCATATTCAACCACTCCTGTATTGTATTTGTGTTATACAGCAATGCATGCTACTCTTTGTGTTGTGCAGCAAAGCATTTTTTTTATTGTATTTGATAGCCTGTTCTGAAATTCTACTTGATATTTTGGAATGAATTAAAAGATAATAGTGCATATTTTTATCTACAGTGATTGACTTATTATTTTTTAAAGTAATTGGTTAAGAAGAAACTTTTGTTACCATCTTGTATATACAGCTTTTCATATTTCAGCTCTAGCAAAAAGCTATCTATTTTCAAGCTTTCTGACAATTTAAACTTTTCATCAATTAGTTAAGAATGATAACTAAAATTACTAAAATTTCAGTCACTTTATCTGAGGGCCAAAATCCACAATGATTGTGTAGGGTCCTTTTGCTCTTTTTACTTTCCTGGTTCTTATATATAACAGATGGAAAGTATAGTAATTGGTCAAAAAATGACTATAACAAGATTTTTACATTTTTGGACTTGACCTTGAAATGTCAAGAAATGCATAAAGAAAAAAAAATTTGGGGTTTTTCTCTATATATGGTTGTCTGTCTGTGTCTGTAAATGTGTGTGAGGGGCACAATTTTGTTTATACACTTTGAAGTTTAATAATTCATGTGCTTTTTGCTGAAAATTTTTAAAATTTTGCAGGGAGATTTGTGTATTAGGATGATTGATGCTATTAAGTTTTGATACTTAAAGGTCAGGAAGTGGGGAGATAGATATGTCACATATCATACTTCAAGTGTGGACAGACTTAATGTAGATTTTATTTGTTATTATGATTAGCAATTTTTTTTAAAAACTCATTTCTACATATTATTTTAAAGTACTCAGCAAATCACCAAACATATAAATAACACTTTATCTTTCCTGAGAAATAAATTTATTTCCAAAACAAACATTTTCAGCCTGATTTACAGGCCATCCTCAGGTTGAGAATGAAATTTGAATTAAAGCATTCCACCAATAGAATACAAAATTCAAAATTAAATAAGCAACAGAATAACATAAAATAAAATTAACAAAAAATTATATAACCAACGGAGTAACATAAAAATTGCTTATTTAATTTTGAATTTTGAATATTGTATTCTATTGGTGGAATGCTTTAATTCAAATTTTGTTCTCAACCTGAGGATGGCCTGTAAATCAGGCTGAGAACGTTTGTTTTGAAAATAAATTTATTTCTCGGGAAAGATAAGGTGTCATTTATATATATACTCATTTCTACTCTTAAAATTAAGGTTTTTGCCCTTTTAGAATAATTTAAAATATAAAAAGTTTTTAAAATGAAATCTCATAACAGATGATGCAGCACACAGTTTTAACTGTTGCCAGGAAAGTTTTTCAACTCGTTGCTGGATTTTTTTTAATTTGGAAGCAAAATTTCCAATAAAGTTTCAAATATCATTTTTTTATTAAAAATTTCTTGTTATGGAGTATATTTTATTGATACAAAGTTCTGCATACTAATGCAGAAATTTGTATCAGTTTAAAATATCTGCCCGGCAGCAACAGAATCTGCTAGAATGTAAAAATTTACTTTGTTTTCATACAGATCAAAATTAGTTGAAAATATCTTTTGTTAATTACAAAATATAAAAACTTAAAAATACCTGTATATTATAAGTATGTATGTAAATGAAAATTATGAAACAACAGATATTTTGGACATTTTATTAATTTTTTTATTGTAATGTTTAGATTAAGATTTTTTAAATAAATTTTAAGAAATGATTAGTTATTTTAGACTTAAAGTTTTTCTGAATTAGATTTAATTAATAAATTTAAAAAATTATTTTGAATAGGAAATTGTTAACTCCTAGTCATTCACACCGTTACCTACACAGTGCAGTTATTCATCATGGCTTAATGCTTGTGTTTGGTGGAAATATATATAATGGTACAGCTCCTAGCAGTGGCGGCCAGTGCTTTTCTTCTGATTTTTTAGCATATGATTTAGGTAACCGATCTTATTTTACAATTATTTTAAGATTAATTCTTATATCTATACATTATATGTTTATTAAATATACAAGCGTAGCAGAAATCTTTTGGCATCTTTTAATTCATACAAAATTTTGAGAGGGCACTTAAAATTCCTATAACCACTAAATTTGTTCTGGTTACAGATGACATTTATGTAATTTGCATTCACTTGAATTGTCTATATTACAATTATTAGTGATTTCTTCTATTTTGTGTGATTTTTAGCTTACTTTATTTATATATACCCATAAATATTGTATATATAAAAGAACAAGATTCAAACATCACTGATATTGAACATAATCACTAGTTCACATTTAATGTATTATTCATTTGGAAGAAGACTGTCATATCTCAAAAATCATTGATTTTTATAAGAAAAATGTTACAAATTTTGTTTTTTTTCTATGTAAAAGTAAAATGGTAATTTTTTGAGTTGTGATGCTTTTCTTCCAAACAAATTATATGTATTATTGAAGCTTCTAACAGTCTATTAGTGTTTTAGTGATATGGAAGACCTGTAACTAGTTGTGCAGGATGTATTATTGAGCTATTACTGTACTATATGATTATTGATCTGGAAAAACTTAATTCAGTAAGGCTTTGAAATGAAGGATATCAGAAAAGTGATGTTGGACTTGTACTAAATTTTGACATTAAAAGTATCCTAATGTATAATATGTAAAAATTTTTCATATTTATAGTATTTTATTCTGAAATGAGATTTAAATAAAGTAGGATTATAATAAATTAGGAATAGTTTTTCAATGAAGTATTTTTAAAATAAACCATTTTAGCAGTTATATTATTTAATAAATAATAATTTAAAATTTAATAGAATTGAATTCAATTTGAAAGTGTATGAAATCCGTAGAATAATGGATTTACTTAAATTATCATTTGTTAACTTGTAAATTATAAAAAACATTACTTTTTCACTCTAAATTAACATTTCATTAACATATTCTGTATATTATGCTATCATAAATGTCTTATGACCAAACTGTAAAATAAATATCAAAGTTTATATGCATATGTGAAACATTTTCCACATGGTTTTGGAAGATGTCTGTCAAATCAGAATTATTTTTGTTTTCCCAGAACTTTGAATGAATAAGAGTGGTTCTATCACTTACCTTGACTTAATTAGTTCAGAAAAATTATAGAATTATCAATAAGTTAATTTATCTGTGCAAAAATTAAACAAAAAATGATGATATATATTTTCTATATCACACTGATTACACTGAAAATAGTATGTGAGGTCTGTCCAAAAATCCTTTACTTATGTCTGACAATCAGCAATATTGTAATGATAATAAAAAGTCTTTGATTTATATATAAAACTATTTATTAACTAAGTAAAATAGGATCTTGTTTATTAGTATTTCAATTTATATTCTTGAAAATTAAGTTAAATATAGAAACTGTATACAGTAGTACCCCGACTTATGCGAACTCTGAGTTACGCGATTTTCATATCTTGTCGATTCATCTTTTGTTTGAGTGCCATGCAGTCCTTGATTACTCACACCCCCCACACTATTGTTCAGCTTACATGTTCGGATGTATCGCGTGNATAAAATTATTTATTAACTAAGTAAAAGAAGATCTTGTTTATCACTATTTCAATTTATATTTTTGAGAATTAAGTTAAATATAGAAACTGTATGTAGTGTATAAGCTTATTTAATTGGAAGGATACATGCAAGAAGAAAATCTTTGAGAATCTAGGAAGTACAAAATATTAACAAAAGAAAAAAAACAAATTCACATATCGCTACTTTGAAAGAAAACCAACATAACTCAAAAAAGTGCGATTTTTCAATTATGTCATAATCAAAATGAAAATGTAGTAAATTTTTATGTGGAAGAGTGTCACAAAAGTAACTTGCATATTTGGCCACTAGGGAGCAGTTATGTTGGAGATAAGTGATATTCAGTTAAACTTTAGTTAAATCTTTGTATGAGATTTTCTCAAAACTACTAATTTTGAGTTGAGCTGGTTTTCTTCCAAAGTAGTGATATATATTTGCAGATAAACCCAGTCTTCTTGTTCAAATCCTAGAAATCTATGTTTTGAAACATTCTGGTTCTAAAATCAAATTGGTTTTTAGCCAAATTTAAAATTTTGAATCATCTCTAAACTTGTGATGCAGTTCTAATGACATTAGACACTACACTAAACACTAAACAGAAAATTAATTGAAGTAAATGATTTTTTATAATTAGAGTCAAAACTGAAATATGGGATTGGATGATAAACCAGTATTCTACTTCCAGCATAGTACAAAATATAATTTTTACTATGCTGGAAGTAGAGTGCTGGTTTATTCACTTTCACATTTCAGTTTTGACTAATTATAAGAGGTCATCTACTTCTGTTTGTTTGTCTTGAAATTTCTGTTATACTTCATTTACAAGTAGTGTTATAACTATCCAACAACATTTTCTGTTATCACTGGATATATATACTTGTGTGGGTTTGGCATTTTATGCCAATATATAGCCGATGTAAAATTGTATTCCATTACAACATTTTGATTTTATTTTGCTGTATAAAGTCCCAAGCAATGTATAACAAAATATAATGAAGATGTTTAGATTGATTTATTTATAATATAATGAATGATGAATATTAATAAAAATTTTGTAACTAGTTGAATTTTGTAATTACGACTTCACAACTTTCATTTATAGTTCAAGTAATATCACTGAAATTTAATTAGGCCATACCTGTAAAGTTGAAAACACAGATTTTATAATTAAATATTATTTTATAATTATAAAATAAAATACAATGTTATAAATAAATATATATTTATAAAGTAAAACAAAAGATAGTACAGTAGAGCATTGATTATCCGACCCCCGATTAATCGTCACCTTGGTTAACCGATCGCGTTCTAGTCGGCAAATTCAAATGTCCACTAGTGATGTGGCGCTACAATATTTGGCTATGTCTTGGCTACTTTAATATTATTTTTTTTTAATTTTTGCATGTTTTAGCTGGCAACACTGGCTCGACCATGAAAGGGAGGCCAGTATTTAAACGAGGCTTAATTTTTTAATTATGAGTGGTTGTTTGTTTTGTGAGCAATAAAATAATTTTTAAGCATACAATAGCGACAATTATTATTTTTAAAAAATTTGTTAGGTTTAACATGGAGGAAAATTCAACGCGAAGTAAGTTAATAGCGATATACTAATATACTAATTACATGGGATATAATAATAATATTACACTAATAATGGATTTTTTCATACTTTTTGGTTATTTGACTTTTCAATTATCCGACCAACCCCAGTCCCCAATTGAATCGGATAATTGATGCTGTACTGTATTTATGTAATTGTGTTCTTTTATTGTTACTATTATAATTATTTATATATTTATTTATTATAATAAGTACTCAGTATCATGTTTTAAAAAATTTTGATTTTTTAAAGATTTTTTTTTTTTTTATTTTGAATGAATAATTAATTTTATTTTTTAGAATGCGATGCTTGGACGACTTTAAAATTTCCAACAGACCAACAAAAGAATATTGCGCGATTTGGTCATACTGCAGTTCTTTATAATGAGTATGTATAAAGCTTTCATTTTATTACTTTACATAATTAAATTTGTAATAATCTTTATAAAAGTAAATATAATTGTAATATGAAATAAAAATTTACATACAGACAAGACATTAAAATGTATATAAAGTATAGTGTGATGAATTTAAAGCTCTAAAATATTTTGAAATGTTATTATAAACAGTATGTAATCGTATAAAAGTGTGCTGTAAACAGTATGTTGTAAATGAGTAATTGTTTATAAATTTCTAGGTTTTTTCTTTTCTAACAAAACTCCTATTTTTAAAGCTTTGTTATTTTTTACATAAATTTAAAATTATTAAATTAAATATTAAATTATAGGAATTTATATAAAAATAGGAACTTTCACTTAGACAAATATCATACTCAATGTAATTTAAATATTCTCTACTTTTTGATTTGAAATGTTTCTGTTAGAAGACTTAATATTTATATTTAATGATTATCTTATTCAAGGTATTTAAGTTGAGTTAATTTTTAAAAGTTTTTTAGACTTGATAAAACAATGAATGAACTTGCATTCATGAATGAACTTGCATAAACAAAATTATCTGTTGAGCTATTATTGTTGTATCAGGAAAACTTGGTACAATATTTCTGAGCAACTTCTTAGAATTTTGAAGTCTTCATACACTTTAAATGCTTTGACACCTAAATGACAATTAATATATTAGTAACATAATTAAAACATTGCATTTTATAATAATAATGCTTTATTATAAATATTGAAATAATAATAATGAATTTTTTTAGATCTATGTATGTTTTTGGAGGATTTAATGGACAAATGTTGAATGATATTCAAAGATTTTCACCTGGTAAATAATTTTTAAATATGTTTAAAATTTATTGGTTAATTAAACAATTTCAATACTTTTTAGATTATAAATTTGTGATAATTTTGAAATTTTGTAATATTTTACTCACAATTTAGTTTTTAAATTTAGATGCTATAAATACATTATTTTCATTTATGAAAATTATTTCTATAAGTGGTTTCTATTTATGAAAATGCAAAGGTTTGAAAAACTTGCTTTTTTTTATTTTATAAATATCATGTCAAAAATTTTTAAATTTATAAATTTAAAACATATATATATGATAGGATAGGAAACATATTTTGAATTTTATAAACTTAAAAGAACATAACATGAGATTATACATATAAAAAATTAATTACAGGTAGCCCTCGGTTTACGCCGATTCACAATAATGCCGCTACGCAATTTGCCGTTTTGTGGTGTAATTCCCTGATTTTCCCTATGCCAGACTGATTTTCATTTCAGTGTTGACGTATTTACAGAGCCGCGACATTGTGCATTCGTTAAAACAAAGATTTTTATTGAATATTTTTATTTTTTCTGTTTATTATTATTGGGTATGTATACATTTGCATTAAATTAATATTAAAATACTAAA